TATATATATATATATATAATCCAACAAAAGCATTGGATTGTTGTTTTCTTGTTTATTAGGGTTTCCCCATGTAGTCTCCTTCCTTTTTATTAACTAGCCAACTTATGTCATGGTGAGAGTCCAAAAAGCCCCCTTACATGTACACAGTGTTCAACAAGCCACATCGAAACCTCACTCGGAAGCTGGAACGCCTTTGCTCTTTCCGATAAGTAAACCAGGCAAGATCTTCCACATATTCTCCCCTCCTGTACCTCAAAGTGGACGCATGTTCCTCATTGTAACTTTGAGCAGCATATTGTAGTTGTATAATTTTAGACTTTAGGTATAGGTGAGGGGGATACAGTGTATATTAGCAGAGAGAGAAACCTCGGTGAGTAAAAGTGACTATAATAATCACATGATGACACAAGGGAGGGAAATACCAGTGAACAAGCTCCTAATTTGACTTGTCAATCAAAGGAGCCGTGATGGGCCACAGACCCCAGTTTGGGCCACTCACTGCTCTGTTATTGTGAGGATGTCCCGGGAGAGCGTTAAAGCTGTCAGCATGTGTAATGATTGTAGCCTACTTGTCTCCACTTTCTTAAAAAAAAAAAAAAAGAAAAAAAAAAAGACTCCATATGAAGTCAACTTAAAGTCTAACAAAGTATCTCCTAATAACAAACAGTCGACTTACCCTTCCCGTTATGTAAGGCGAGGCAGGCGGTAACGAGGAGCAGGATCAGTTTCATCCTCCGTTTGGTTTTTCTCTGACAGACAGAACACCGAGTCAATATGAAGGCACTCCTCTCCAAACTGAAGCTTGTTGTTGCGAGGTGAACAATAAGTGTGAACTGCTTTCAGCCAAACTCCCCCTGAAGAAGAGCTCAGCCCTCTGGAGTGCGTCATGGTTTCCTGAAGTCTCCTCTAGTGCAGTAAATGACTGAACATCCTCAGTGGAAACTTTTTTCATTAACCGCCTCAAATATCAGACGTCAGGTATTGCGCAACTGAGGAAATACCAGAAAAAAAAGTTGGCAAGATTTAATCTGTGTTTTTCGAATAACGACGACCGAGAGGAAGCGACAATTTGTCTTAATTGGTTCATTTTGCGTTGAGATAAGAAGGCGATAGTATCTGTGAGAGCTTCTGCTTTTGCGCGAATTCAATTCGGCTTCATTGGTTTCTCTTCAGTTGATTGCGAAAGGCAGTTCGCGTTAACTTTGCTTTATTTCTTCAGGAGGTTGAGACACATTCAGCAGCAATAAGCCACAACAGTGTCAACTTCACTGACTAACACAAGGGAAAGCAGTCGCTCCAGTATTATGTGGGGTTGTACTGGAACCTGGTGTGGGAGTCACAACAGGTCTCAGAGGGTTGTGACGCTGTCACCCCAAACTCCACAGCAACAGCCTCATCCTCTAGATGAAGAAGATACCACCAGCACAGCACCACTGCAGCGTCCTCTCTGTGCAGTGTGTGTGTGTGTGTGTGTGTGTAAATGTCTGGCTGGTTGTGTGTGATGTATTGTACTTTAGTGAATGTTTTTGTGTGTCTGCATCTGTTTTTCATTGTGTGTATTTGTGGATGTATGTGTCTCCACACGTCCTACAGATTCACGCATGCATTGTTGTTGGTGGTTGAATGTACATTTACTCAAGTTCTGTACTTAAGAACTTAATTACAGTTTTGATTACATTTTTGTGATATTTGGAATTTGCTTTATTACATGAGAAATGTTGTACTTTTTACTCCACTACTGTGCATTTATTTATATTAGTTATTACTTTAAAATATATATAAATGTATTTTGTAAGTTAAACTATCCAAACAGTGTATAAAAAAAGTTAAAATTAAAATTAACCACGTTAAAATACGGCTTACATTTGAATTGATATCCATAATTTACTTTTGATACTTTAAGTACATGTTGCTGATAATACTTCTGTACTTTAACTCAAGCAAAATGTTGAATGTAGTAACTGACTTCAATGTGCGTATCTGTGTATTTCCTGTGATATTAAGATCAACGTACTTCCGCCACCACTTGTCTCATGTTGATGTTCATGTGATGTTAGACTGTGCTGGTAAACATGTCGAGACATTTCAAGTGTCACAACCTGGTACGTCTGGGTGCCTCGGGCATATGAAGTGTATTTTTATTTTATATCCTTTAATGATGACTCAGAAGTTACTCAGGATGCTCCCGGACGGTTAACAGCTGGAGGAGGAGGACATGAAAACAAAACTACAGAGTTGTAATTCATGTTAAAGCATGTGATGCAATGTGCCTGTGATTTAAGGAAGTGTTTATGATGATCGCACAAATATTAGAATAGATTAAGTAGAGTTCAGAGTGTTCTCAGAGGTCTTTAAAGTTTCACAGCAGGGGACCAATTTAGGATCAGAGATCAGCTATCTCACTACTGTCAATTTCTAGCTAGATTCAGAAAAAAACATCTAATATTTCTAATGCAGATGTTTAGGAAAGGAGGGATGGGCTTTTTTTAAGTTTTAAAGCTAGGTTATAACAGTATTCACAATTAACCTTTGGCCTGTTTAGTGGTTTACATAAACCATGTGCTGTGGCGTGCAATGGTACAGCATATCATGAGGACAGTCAGGTTGTGTGATCACAGTGAAAATGGACAGACAACAAATCAAAAAATGTACTGTAAACCTTTAGGTCATTTTATGATTTCAGGGCAGTAAAGGGTGGCTTTAACATCTCCTGAACCCCAGTATTTATTTCAATGACCCCCTCAGTGGTGTCATCATTAGAAAACAGTCTACAGTGATACATATATCATGTGTATTCTGTATCTGCTTCTTCCAAC